CCTACACGGGAAAGGAGCCCAAATTCTACATGCAAGACTGAATTATGCATGAAGGACATGCATTTCTCATGATCACAAGCTTGCATAAGCAGAGTTACACGTATGCAAACAACTCTACAATTGCACAGCCCCTGCACAGTAAATGTAGCCCTTTAAATTACGTGAGAAATAGGCCACAAAACTCAATTATGCATGTATGATCTCATGTCCTAGGACCTTCCACCCATGCATAGCACTGCACAGCTACAGCTCCCATCCTTACACGAAACTGTAGAGCTGCTAAGAAGCTCCCTAGTGCCCTGAGGGCCTCTCCTCTTCCCCTGAGCCCCCTGTAGAATATTTAAGGAGCTCAGATTCCTACCTTTTCCCCCCAGGAAATTCTAGTAGCATCAAACCAACTCTTGTACCGTGATTATTAGTGCTTCAAACCACCAATAACATTACAACTCTGCTACCTTAGACCTAAATAGATTTACTTTGCTCAGATTCAAGGCATATCTACTTATCTCTATTGCATAAAGAATTATCCCCCAGGTTAAACAATTCTGGTCCATAAGTGTTGATACACTTATTAATCTAGATTGTTGTTAAAAGACTAATCCCAAGTGAGTTGAAGAAGTCCTCATCTTGGAAGCCTATTAATCCATACAAGAGGATTGATCTGGATGCCCAATTAAATAATTGGATGAGTCAGCAGTAGAAGTACCATTCCTCACTGACTCCTCCCTGTTTCTTTTACAGGTTGAGGGATTTAACCACGAATAAACCTTCCCACTTACCATACTTGTTAACACTCAGAGCACAACCCTTACAGGTTAGTAGCATAGAGGCTGACAGGCGATCCTACACCTCAAGCACACAACTTACCTCCTCTGTCTGGATATGGACTTCACAACACCCAGAATGCAGAAGAGCCAGTGTATAATCGACAACAACAACAACAACCAGTGAATCAGGAACAAGCATATCAACAACCAATCCCTCAAGTTGCACCAAGAATTATCAAGGAACCTGGACTTTTTTACGATGGTGAAAACTTTGGAAAGTTCTTGATGCGGTTTGAAAGAGCGGCTAGGGCGTTTAATGCAAGCGACTACGATAAAGCATTACAAATCGGGCGATTCATGAAGACGGAGGATCTTAAAACTCAACTAGAAGCCATGAACGGGTTTGAGAAATGTGAATGGAGAAAATTACGAAAGGAGATGGTCGAAACCTGGGGAGAATTGGACAATACGATCCTGTACACCTGCAACGACCTGGTTAAGGTTGCCAAAGAATTTGGAGTAAATGGCGGAATCAAGGATCATCGGGAATTCAAATCTTACTTAGGAAAATTCACCACCATTCTCAAGTACCTAGTAACTAATAAACAAATTCATCAGAAATCAGACGCCGCAATACTATTTCTGAGCGCATTTTCCCGCGAAAGTCAATCGAATATCAAACGTACCTTAATCAGTTATGATTTACTTCCAAAAGGACCGGACGGCAGCAACTTACCTCCACTCTGGGAAGACTTGGTTGAAGCATCACGACTGGAAGTGCAGATCGTGGAACCTGGATATTTTAACATCTCGGGATTTGGCGAAGCCAATCAACTAATGCAGAACAAACTAAACGCGCAGAAAGGAAATAGTCAACAAAGAGATCAGATGATTGTGGAAGCACCTACGGGCCAAGCCATGGACAAACAAGTTGAAGATATGGCACGAGAAATTGCTTCACTCAAGTCTCAGTTGAAAAGCATAATACCTGCATCCTACAATCAAGCCGGATCAAATGAAAAATCGGAATTCTCTAGAGGTAATGCTAGGCCTTCAACACCCTTGTATGAAACCCAAAGTTGTTACTACTGTAAGAAAGAGGGACACGGAACCTATCGATTTCAAGAACTCTTAAAGGACAAAGAACAAGGATTAGTCAGGCGTAACGGGAAGGATTGGTACTTACCAAATGGACAACACATACCTTGGAACCCTACAAGACCCATCCGCACTGTAGTAGCAACGGCATCAGCAGACCCGCAAATGCAAGAAGCTGCGAGAAAATTAGCTGAATCCCTGAAAGCTGGAGAAACCCAAGCACCTGCTACCATGAAGTCATCTGCTCAAACCATTGATTGGGATCCACCACAATTGGGTGCAGAAAACTTTCTAGCCAACCACGCAATTACCCGGTCGGAAGGCCAACAAGGAAGACGCAGTGTTCGGATTCAAGAACCAGAGAAAGATGATATGGACGTGGATCAAGAAGACGAGCTCGCCGAAATTACGGAAGAAACACCTAAAACTCCTGTGGTAGAGAAAGTGTGGAGTAAAGAGAAGCCAGTTAATAAAAAGGCTGCAACACCAGAAGAAGCTCTGTTGCAGGAGTTAGACCATTTGAAAATTCCAACAACTTTTGCACAACTCACGGCTATTTCACCAACCTACACGGAGCAAATAATTGCAAAACTTCAGAACCGACTCCCAGGAAAGAGTAGTGCGACATATATTACTACAGAAGCCACAAAAGTCTCAGCAGCCATGACCACTCCGGAAATAGAAGATCCCTCGGACCCTTGCTACTATAGCTGTGCCCTAGGATACGTAACAGCCAAAGTTGGGGGAGCTAGCGTGGAATTTATGGTAGATTCAGGATCCATGGTAAACGTTATGCCTCGATCAGTAGCAGAAGACCTGGATTTGGAACTAGTACAAGTAGATATACCAATGAAAGGAGTTGGGGGAGCAAGATGTGACCTAAATGGGGTAGCAGAAAATTGCCCAGTTGGAATTGGAAGATTCTCCGGACCAGCCCATCTGTTTGTTTCACCCAAGGCTCAGGACTGCATTTTAGGACGACCATTCTTATTTGACTACGGATGCACTTTGGAATATCACGAAAACGGTGAAACTCTGTCTTTCCAAGGAACAAAGGGACGCAGGGTATCAGTACCATTAGCAAGAACGGGCCAAGGAAGAGGCTGGAACAACAAGAAAGATCTCAGTACAAACAGTATGAAGATGCAGGACAGCAATATACCGCCAAACGACGAGGATCGGATGTTCAAAAATTCTTCAAAGCAGTCTTTTTTATGAATTCCGGTGTTCAACTAAGGGATTACTCACTTAAGCTAGTTGAGCGAGTTATATCCAGAACACCGGGTTTTCTAGACTGGCTCAAAACTTTTCTTTTGGATTTATTTAAAAAACTACCAAAACAAACAAAAATATATTTTGCAAAGGTAATGTTATTAAAAAAGAACATTCTGATTATTTTCCTTTTACTTTTGAGAATTTGTAAAACAGGTGCGGTCCAACTGCAAAAACTTAGGACAAATAGGATTCAAGACCCACCAAAATTGAATTCTATGCAGGCAGAAACTTTCAGAAAACCCACCTCCTCAACAATCAAATCCAAACCAATGGAACCACTTGGCTACATGGGTATACCAGATCAGGCGGAGCAATCAAAACTATCCGAGAAAAAGGCTTTACAGACTCAAGATTTCCACCTTGCAGAAATAAAAGAAAACCCTCAAAATTTTCCCATACAATCAAAAATCAGCTGGATTCAAGATATCATCAAAGTCAAAGACAAAATTTTCAGTAAACATCTTTTCAAACCTCATTTGGATTTATCCAACAATTTAAAAATCAACTACATTTATACTCAACAACCCAATATCAATAAATATACCAACCCTGAAGAACAGAAGGAGGATCACATCAGTATTTCTAGATTAAACAAAATCAAAAATTTCAAAACGCTCAGTCAACTTACCTCAAATCAATCTAATATGCCATCAGTTCAGCTTTTGACAATTTTTGAAGACAAAATCAATATTCCACCTGCGCCGGTTCCACCAGACATCAAGGAAACATGGTGGGATTTATCAAACAATCTAGAAAATAAAAATATTAAATTCAGAATTAATTCAGAAAGATCAGACAGCAATCACTCTCAAATTGACTTGAAAGCAAAATATTACTGGCTCTTACTTTATTCACTTAAGAAAACATTTTCTCAACTTTACCTAAAACCAGAACTCTCAGAACATCTATATCAAAAGTTCAAGCTCCCAAGGAAACTTGTGGGAGTGGGTTGATTCTTTTTCCAACATTTATTTTTATCCCCAAACAATCAAGAACATCACATCAGTTCAAATCCTAAATTTCCACTGTCAGAATTATTTTTTTAAGTTGGGGGAGGAGATCACATTCATTCCATAATCATTCATTTAAAACCCTTCCTCCTTTACCTATAAGTTTGCAAAGCCCTTATGGCCTCAGTAGGATGCTTGATTCATGTCTACAAAATCCATCAAAAAGCACAAATTAATTAGTTAAATCATACTCAAACTTCAAAGTAAAAACACCACTGGTAGATTTAAATGATTGAAGTTGGGGGAGGAAAATTTCATACTTCACTCACATTATCACTGTCCCCATTTTACCCCGTCTCATTAGCCTTTAGTTTCTTTTATTCAAAACACACCTTTACATATTTTCTTATCTTATATCCTGCTGTTTATATATATATTTTGGACTCTTGAAGTTTCTCTGTTTCAGTTTTTTACTCAAGCTCTTTTCTAAGATTTTCCTTTTCCTCTTTCAATCACTCAATTTTCCCAATCACTTACTCATCACCTTCATCGGAACTATTGGCTTGAAGGTTGAGGACAACCTCATAAGTTGGGGGAGGGGTGTAGTTTATTTTCTTCCTTGAATTTCTTTTTTTTTAAAAAAAAAAAAAAAAACAAAAAGTTTCTTTCATTTTTTCATTCACCTTCTCCAATCAATCAGGGTAGTAGTGAACAGATCGCGAAATGGGCATGAAGGAATTCTAGGACTTTATAGGCTGATCGCGAATCAACTCTGAAGGGAATCACTTTAGATCGGTAGCCACATGGACCCTTATCTTTTTTTGCTTGGATCATCGACTAGAACACCGGATGCAATCAGAAGTAGTTTAGAAATGCTCAGCACAAAGAAAACACCTACACACTCTACACTCTAATCGCCAATGAGGTCTGAAGACTGGGAGGCTTGAATACTGGATGCGGCTAGAATAAAAAAGGGATACCGATGAAGAGGACCCGGCGCAATTGAGGAATTTGGATACTCTTGGATGACTTGGTCAAACCCTCTGGATTTTGCTTGAAGCAACAACTTACAAGGATTGTTTGGCGAGGGACTAGGAAAGGAGGAACTGATCGCGATTGAACTCTGAAGGACTTGGAAGTCTTGGCAATTGGTGGCGACTTGGTTGAATGAAGGATACAACACTTTCTCGATGACAACAGTAAAAAGAAGCTAGTTGCAAACGAGAGAGATATAAAGCTATGATCAATGGAGATGGACAGGAAGCGATTTGATTACCAGGATACAGAAGAAAGATCAACCCCTCTGCCTTCCTTGGATCTAAACGCACGGCTCGGAAAACGACTCGGTAGAAGTGATGGAGATTGGTGAAGAGGTTGTAGTGGTAGTTATGAATGATGAGTGGAATGAAGAAGGAGAGAAAGGACAAAGAAGGCGAGGTACTAAAACAACAAGCAGGGTCAAATCCTAGAGCGAGCTAACCAGTGAGGAGAGGTGGAAAATGGAGGAACACTGCCGGTATTTATAGACAAAACAAGGGCTTTGGCGAAGGGTCTATCTGGAGCAATACACAGCCACGATGGTTTCCAGCGACACAGCGACATTGTGGGGTAGAGAGGACTAGCGCAAAGGATCTTAGTAGTGTCGTTCGATGGATTGGAGTGGGGTCGGCCGATCAACGCGACAGAAGAATCGATCCAAGATGGTGCTAACAACAAAAGGCTCCAAGTCAGATAGGAATTAACTATAAGAACAGAAGAAATGAGACATACTTGTCCCAATGGATAAACCATCGGTCGAGTTGCGAGATGGAAGTTGAGATTGATTTGATGCATCGGTCGAGTCACGAAGTGAATTTGAAGCGGGCGGAATCAAAGTTGAGATTCAGTGGACGTATTGTTCGAGCCGTATTGGCTGGGATCGAATTTAAGGATTGAGGTGGCGACAGATCGAACGAGGTGGCTGCAGAAGCTAGACCCACGGAGAGGAGGAACTACATACAGCGGAGAGAGGGCACCCCATCGCCGATCGGACCGGAACCTGCCACACCTGTGACAGGGCTGCTACAGACTGACTACGGCGCGAAGGACCGTTATTCCAAATCAAAGCTCACCCCACCAGCAAGTCTAGTCGAGCAGTGTAATTAGCACTCTGCCTGCAGTATAAACAGCTGGGTTCAAGCCTCACCCTCACCACAATTGAAAGCTGTGCTCTACAAGCATTGGTTACTGTCCTAAGTTTGTTTCCCCAAAACTATATACACCACTGCACAAAAGATAAAAATTAGGTTTATTTTGAGGACTTGAGTTCAATTCCGTCCTGGGCTACAAAAAAACTTGACAAATCAAAACTTTCTTTCAAGTTTTTGTCATTTAAGAAATCAACTACACAATTTAGGATATCTTTTCAGTCTTAAAGTGCCCCAAGAATACAAACCATTAAATTCCAAATAAAACATATTCTTTCTACAGTCACAGTTTCCCTCCTGGTCAAGTCAATTTATTCTCTGGCCATTTTACATCAACTCAACACCGCTCAAGCCAATAACATACACGCAAGGCGGGGGATCTTTCATTTTCTTGTAAAATTAGCTCCAAAACACAGTACAAATCAGAATTGACTGGGGACAGCCAATAAGTTGGGGGAGGATGTGGTAGTTATTCCTGTGTTTCTACGCCAAAAATATAAAAATTTATTCTCATCTTTTTCTAAATCAGATATAAGGTAAAATAAACATCAAAAATGGATTCCTGAGGTAAAATAACCCCTAGTCACCCACTACAACTACCCCCTTATCTCTATTAGTTCAGAAGTTACACCTATTTCAACCTATCACAGGATATCTCTTGGATTCTTTACTCTGACTATAGCTCATTTTGAATATTGGATGCATATTTCATATTGAATTCCTTTGTTTCATATTGAATTCCTTTACTAGCTCATATTACATATTGAATTCCTTTGTTGGTGCACATGCATTCCTTTGTAGCAGGACCTTGTAGGCCAGCCAAAATCCCTCAAGGCTGTGCTCTCACCAGCCAAATTCCCTCACCTGCATGTACTAGACTAGCTAAAATCCCTCATTGGATCTTCAGGCCAGCTAAAATGCCTCAAAAGCCTGTACCCTGGGGCTAAAATCCCTCACATTTGTCTATATAAGGAGGCCTCTGCCTGCCAGTTGTTCCCTCCATCATCCCACCAGTGGACCAGATCATCTCAACCACCCTTACAGATTATATACAAGTGACAGCCATAACAATACATTATATTGAAATACAATCATAACACTTTCATCATCATAACAAGTGCCAAGTGCCCATAACCTGCCTCACATACCATTACTGGTTGAAGCATAGTGCTCCCAGAGCTCCAAGCCTTGGTTTTAAAGCTTTGAACAACATCTTCATCAATATAATCATCACTCATTTATAACTTCAGACCTTATACACATCACTCGGAAGCTTCATCTTGAACTATCCTCTATCACGATAAATATAACTGCCAAGCTAAGCTTGGTGGTCTTGTTGTTCTGATAGCATAGAAGGGCAGAGCTTGCAACTCCATCATCCCCTTCTCCATTCAGCAAAAGGGTTTCATCACCACTTTTGAGTCTTACAAGGGAGTCCCCAACGTGATAGGATAACCTTCGAGTGACATCGTATAACCGACTCTAAACGAAATAAGAAGAAATCAACAAAGACATCGACAGAGGATCATTACTTTAGCGGTAAACGGAACGAATTCATCAAACAAATTTGCAACTACTCCACGGCATATTCAGTTATTCTGCTGATCAACTAGTCAGACTTCAATAAACAATTCAACGACACAAACAACGAACCTCTGAAAAGAAAGTGAACCCATCGACTGAAACGAGTATCTTGAAGAAGGCAGCCAGTTATTGACCAGCAGAAGGAAGACCACCGAAGGATCTGGATAACTAGGATACTGTTTGAAGAGAACTCTGGAACTATTCGAAGAAAGCAGCTGCTTATTGACCAAAAGAAGGAAGACCACCGAAGGATTTGGATAAGTAGATTCTGTGAAAGAAGAAATTCCCAGTGTTAACTGATCTATTATTTTTAAAGAAGACTATAAGCTTGCCCTGGTAAAGAAACCAGCGACCATAGTATTATTTGTTTCTTTTTCAGAGCAACCATTTGTTTAGGTATCGAAGGAGCGTCAAGTAAGGAAAACTAGGAAAATCAATCAAAATCAACATGAGTCTACCGTTCAGTACACCAGATTTGGAAGATGGATTTGCACCATCAACCCCTTTTAGGAACCGATTTTACGGCCGACCTTCAGGATCATCTTCAGCTTTCAATTGGAATCCGGAACTACAATGCAACTTGAAGACCAAAAGCCAATGACCAACTCAAATCCTTGTGGAACCTAGCCTCTTTTATGATGTAAATCATTTTATGATGTTTCAAAAGCGATCTCTTGGAAAATTTTTGCGGATTAAAAAATCAACGATGACGTGCCAAACAGCTGGATTGATTGATGTGGAAGAATGAACAATGGAACCAATGACGATGTTCGTGATTGAACAATTGGTGTGAATCGACGATAGAAATGAAGAACGCACCCATAACACTAGATGTATACAAGGAATGCAAATGGGATTAACTCTGGCGGATGAAGATCAAAACCTATTTAATTAGTTGTACATATAAACAAACAAGAAGACACTCCAATTGGAAGAAGAAGTCTGAAGAACCTTGGATTTGGACAACTCACAATCTGGACTAAACAAGAAGAACCCTCAAGAAATTTGGACCTTGAAAGCAAATAATCAACCTCAGGGAAAAATATATTGAAGGAGTATCAAATAATTCTTGAAATGTCTCTTAATTATTTTGAAAATTTGGGGTAGCAGCTCATATTCATTTAAAATTCACTCATTTAAAGCCTTCCTCCCTCCCCTAGTTCTGATATCCCCTTAATTAATCAGTAGAATGATTGCTTAAAGTCTAAAACTTAAGAACATAAATCAGTTAGCTAAATCATCAACTTACAGAAGATAACAGAATAAAACACTTCCAGTAGATAAAATGTTTTGAGGTTTGGGGGAAAAGTTTATATTCTACTCACATTCACACTAAACCATTGGATTATCCTTTATTTTCTCATAAAAAAACACCATGACATATTTTTTTAGCTTATATCCTTGGGGTTGCTGTTAAAATTCATTTATTCACTCTAACTATTACTCTCTGGATTAATTTTTTTTCTCTTGAATCCCTATTTCAGTCTCTTAATTTTTTGTATAAAACTCACATTCTGGATTGGATTTATCTATCAGTTTTCTTATTACTTCTAAGTTTCTTCTGGATTGAATATTCTGTTATATTTTCTCTATTATCTCAAACTCTTATCTGGATTGGATTTCTCTTTTAATTTCTCTACTATCTCAAACTCTTATCTGGATTGGATTTCTATTTTGGCTTGCTTTTAGTATCTCAAACTTATGGATTGAATTTATCTTACAGTTCTTTTATCAGCTCAAACTCTTATTTGGATTTGATTCTTCTTCTAGATTCTTGGACCAATTTTAGCTTTAGGACGGCAACAGACACAAACAATCAGTCAAATGTATTAAGCCCTCACAAAATTGGATATATCTCTTTTGGATTGGATCAACAACTTCTTCCTCCATGAAATCAGGACTTGGCAACGTACCAAATTTTCAGCCTCTTCTGATTGGCCTGCTCTTCCGCAAAAACAACTCAACCTTAACCAACATTCCTGTCATCAACTCATCAAAAATCTCAATCACCTGACTCAAAATCATCACCTATCTCAATCAACTATCATAAACTCATCACCATTCTCAACCATCAGATCAACTCATCATCAATCTCAAACATGGGACTCAAATCCATCACCTGACTCAAAATCATCACCAATCTC